TGCGTTCTTCCGATGAGCAACACGGACTTCTCGCCATCAAAGTCCTCAGCGAGCTTCTATATTCCTGAGGTATCGTATATTAGATTTGAGAAGCAAAAATACGCGTACTTAGTCCCACTATCGAGTATAGTGATACGTAATTCGAAGATACGATGAGAAACCACTGCCTTCCCAGAGAACATAGGTAAGGACGGATGGAAAAGCCCAACACGACATGAGGACTTACAGGTTACCATGCGCAGAACGTGAGAGCGTAAACGAGGAACGCAGACTATGCTATCATCGACGTGGATCCTTCCAGCCTGGCCCGAGGGCGTCAATAAAAAAAATTGGATGCAGCAGATCGCCGTTCCCAGCTCCCATCGCATGAGTACTTTGTCTTCAACAGACGAGGCCGATCACAATCTGCTGTGGGCAAAGAATCGAGACTGGGACTTCGCCGATGCAGGGCCGAGATGCCCTTTGCTGAGAAGAGATCAGGTCATGCCAACCCCGAAGAGACGGCGACGACCCTGCCCAGGCACTATACTGTATTTCGATTGCATCTCGGGAGAGTCCACACCAATAAGTGTCGGACCCCTTTAGCAAGGCCCTCGTTGTGACCCTGTTCTTCCTCCGGCATATAAAGATAATAGATGCCCACCTCACCTTTGTCGTTACACAGCGCCTGCTCGTTGGACGACGATACAGCGAATCCAGGTTCTTGACGTTACAAAGACGGTCGCCCATGGGTATCGATGTTACTGGAGAATCGAGGAGAAGACGAATACGCTGCTTTAGTCTATCGAGAATGTCGTCGTGTCAATTTGAGGAGATACCGTTGTACTTAGAACTGGAAGAATGAACTGATACAATCCAGCAATCGCCGTCGAAAGATGTGACAAGGCTGAGCCTGGTCATCGTGTCGTTTCAGACCGAGTTCCTGGACTGCATTCCACGCTGGGATCTTGAATTATTGGGGTTTAAGATAGATACAAGCTGGCCGCGATGCTCGAACGCCAAAATAATACTGATATTGTGATCTCTCCGAAAACATAGTACGTTTACACACTGTGAAACCGAACAGTCAGCTGGAAGGGCACACGACGACAAAGCCAGTAACTCAAGGTAGGGAAAAGCTATCGCCTTGATCTCAAGACAGGTGCCACAGGTAATAGTCCCGACATGGTGGGTCCCACTTCTCGACCCGCATCTCAAAGTCGTCCCCAGCGAGAGCCCGGATATCCTCTTCCCAGAAATACTCATATCTTTCCTCCTTAAATTGTACTTCAACCGATTTCAGCAGTCCTGCATCACGGCGGGAGCGCGCCATGCGCAGTATAGTGGTCCACTCGTCATCTGAATGCTGCGGTATACATATGATGAGATGGTGTAGGTTCGGTAGGACAGAGGGAGAGGTGAGGGCCTCGACAACGCTGAAGACCATCCATGCAGGAAGCTCGAGTTTGAGGCGAGAAACGGTAGAACATGCTTCCAGTGCGAAGATACTGCTATCTGCGGACGATGTGAATATTGCCTTGCCGAGGCTCAAACTCTCGAGATGACATCTCGATCGATGGAGGAAACGGGCGATAGATTCACGTTGGGAGGATGAGAGAAAGACTTGTGAGACCGGGGCAATGGTCAAACTGCTGAGGAGAGGTGCAGATAGGACGCTGAGAATATTGATGTCACCGACATAGAGGTGAGTGAGCTGTGCCACTGTTACCTCCGGCAGGTCCGTTGTGGTCAGCCTCGTTGAAAGGTGACATCTTCTGAGGTTCGGTAGTTCGGCAAGAAGACGTAAATCTTCTGGACAAGTGATAGACTCAGAAAGATGGGTTATCCTGGGCAGTAACTTGATCTGATGGATCCCATGCTGGCTAAGACTTGCTCGCCATAGCTGTGGGGCACTCAAACACATGTCGGAGCGATAATCAAAGCCATAGTCATCATAGATGTCTATGTCAATCGTCTGCAGCGCTGGAAGGGACGAGACAGATTCGAAAAAGGGCATATGAAGCTTGGAAGCGAAAATGCGCAGATTTTTCCACCGATGGCAGGATTGAAAAAGCAGAGACAGGATTGCGTGATATCCTGGAGGATTGTTGCAGAGAATCTGCAGATTGAGAAGATGTTCGCCCGTGTGCTCCAGATAGGTCTGCAATTTTTCCAGAGCATATTGGGAGAAAGAGGTGCGCACGACAAGCTTCCGAGCCCAGGACGCTGGCGAGGACTGCAAAGTATCCCTCCACATTCCACAGACACGACCCAAAACCCAAAGAGGCCCGGATACGTTTAGGCTGTGGTGTGCGTGCGGCTGCACTTTGTCCGGCCACCAAGAATCACAAACAGAATGGAAGATTTCGATGAGAATATCGCGGGGAAGACGACGAATGGGGGCAAAGATTGATTTGCGACTTTCGAGAGCTGTTAGGACTGCACATCGACGCAACTGGATCTCTTCAAGCTGGGCAGCATACAATGTTTGCAGCTGTTCCAACTCGACAATTTCGGCGTTGAGCAGTGCATGGTCAGATTCGAGCAATGCTCGTGACCCGCGTAGAATTTGTGAGATGAGGCCGTCAGAGCTCTTGGTATTTTGTAGTTGTGGCTCGGTGGGAAGGACGTCGATGAATCCACAGTTGCGACATGACATTGGAGGGAAAAGGCAAGAATCTACTCGCACGTGGTCTGTCTCTCTGTCTCTACCCTCATCACTGTCAGTTCTGATATGACTTGTCGCTGCTGTCCGTCCCTTTGATTTTCTGCATTATTCTTTTGTATCGGCCTTGCATTTCTCCCTTCATGAAATTGTTGTATGAGCCCAAAGCTAGAGAGAAATTGAACGGGAATTCGTGAGAACCACGCCGAACCACACCTACTCACCGCGCAGTGGGCCGTGAGGTACTGGTCAGCAACGGTGTATTGGTGAGTGGTTCCTTGTCTCTTTGACTACTGTATTCAACATTCATCCAGATGCCGCTACTATCTCCCTGTTGCCATCCTGGCCTTCAATCCAATAAACCTTCATTTTCTGTCTCGTTCTCCTCCGACAGTTTCCCGTATCACCCCTCTTATGCAATACATCTCATCTCGGATCGCTTGCGAAGGAATGTTTTTGCAGACAGCTGGGTCTGACACCGAGAAGCAGCTTCCTGGCCGTCTGCAAGCAGGAGCTCGTACTTACGCTTGGGCGATCTTCGATCAGGTCTCCCGCATTTGTGGTGGAAGTGAAGCGAGGTGATGGGTTTACGTGAATGGGAGGGGCGTTCTCGCTGGCGAGTAACCTTTTCGACATTGTCTGCCCGTCGCACTTAAAGTTTATTCGGATAGACACGACGCCAATACAGTCGTCGACCTCGGCCCTTCGTATCATATCTCAGGAGGCGAAATTCTGTGACCACCGCTGAGGGCTGCTTTTGCCAGAATTCATAATGTCCTTTACTTTTTTGACGCCTAGGACACGCGCTCGTGGCGCATGCATCCGACGCTAGTAATTGACGCGGAGTCCACTCTCCTGATGTGCCTTATTCTCTAGAGATACCACGATGCCTTCTCAGCACCTCGGATCAGTATATCGGCGGATCCTTCCAACACGTTCTCCGCTGAAATTATCTTGGACAGTGCATTCACCGGTGTTATACGTCGCCACAGTAATAAAAATGACCAATCCAAGCTATGTCCACGTATCTTACCCGTCTCTCGTCTTCATCGATGTTGTACGTAATGACTTGCCTCAGATTCCCTGAATATGAATCTAATAACACCACTTCTCTACAGTCTGGACTCCTTGAACGCAGATCCGAAGCCTGAGTACGACAAGAATCATTGGTGGCTTTGGCGAGATCTCGAGGAGCGTTTTCAAGGCGGCTTTAAGAAGCATACAGCGTTCTCCAGTCCATTTTTGAACGTCATCCTGCTACCACCGCCGTCTCTCGCTCTGCTACTTCTCACATCACGAAGAAGAAAGAAAATCTCAAGCGATGTTCCATCACCATGGAGCTACAATCCATGTCCCCCCGGTGACTGGCTCGAACATACGCGCGCGTCGTCACACCGGTCCACATCTCTCCCGTAGCTTGGCCGTGGTTGCTGTGCTCAAAAGCTATTTAGATCCGCGCTACCGCAGCATGATAATGAATGCTTATATCATCGTCATGGAGAGCGAATATCCCGACACTCCTCATCAAACTCGGTGGCTCCTCGACCTCACCATATCTTGTCTTTGCCGATAACTAACCTCTCTGCATGGAGCATTCGCTTGCTTCAGTTGCCGTATCGATGAGAGAGCGGATAGAGATTGTCGCTGCTACGGAGTACACGCTTCTTCAACCTACGCTTACGCACTCGTACTAACGAGAAACGACCCCGACGGCACATTCTGAGTCGTTCCTGGCGTTCCTGATTTGTTACCGATGTAGGGCATGGGCAAACAAACCATCGTTTCGTGGAGGTGGCGCTCCATCTATCTACACAATCCTTAGACCTTCGCTTCCCCGCACCAATGTGTTTAGGACCTCAGCGTAGTCACTGATCGCAGTCTGTCATCTGCAAACCGGCGTCCTCATCTTCAAGTATTTCGTGTCTCGCAGTTTCACGCATACAGAGGTGCAGACATAGCGAACCTGAGCTACGTTGGGAAATATCCTTTCCGCCGCATATTCTGGGGGAGGTGGGAATATGTTTGAAATTACAATTCCCCTCCTCCCATATACAACACCAACATGTTGACCGTTACATTTGGACCTTGCTTAGCATCCCATATGCACTCAAATTTGACGCTACGGAGGGAGTAAATATCTGACGGGTCGTTCGCATCAGCATCGTTAGTACCCTGCGATCGTCTTTCGCTCTAGGTTTGGGTTTGTACCCGGTTTCTTTTCGGCGCAGATGACGACAAGATATAGTGCTTGTCCCCATTATAATTCGTCCAGGGAATGGATCAGTTGTCCTGTTGCTTTTGCACGTGGGCTCCATATCCCCATGTGCCTGCTATGGCCTCTGGTAAGTACTTCATTGGGTCGGTCGCGTAGCTGGTTATTGCATCTGTCTAACATAGTTATGATAATGTTGTACCGTTTACAGAGAAGGTCCTCAGTTCGAACCTGGGCCGACTCATAGATGTATTTAAAAACCTACGTTGTAGGGAAATACCTTTTTTCCAAGTTCCAACCGGTTAGTACTGAAGTACTCAGTACTTAAGTCTTAGACGGTCATGAAAAACGGTAGTGTCTATCGCGGGACGGAAGAGATAAAAACCAGGGGTATCCGTCACTCGAGAGCAGAGCGTCAAGTTTCAATGGTAATCCAGTCGATCGACTCCAGTGTCCACGAGGCAAAAACGAAAGTAATCATATTGACAACCTCGACCCTCATGAGTCGACCCAGATTCGAACTGAGGAGAGATACGACAACCAACTTCGCCATCGACGTGCATGGTAGGGGTTATGAGTGAGCGGTCAATTCTCTGTGCTTCCAGATCCTTGATAAATAAATTGGACTTCACGCTCGGGATTCTGCTAGGTGCGAAAGTTCAGAGAGTGGAGGACGAAATGTGGAATAGGTAAGGAAAGACGCGACGGCGCGAGGGCTTGAGCACAGGAGAGATGCATGCAGTCAACACGAGGGACTGAGCAGGCGACAAGGGAATTCCCAACTTGCTCCTCAAAGAATCATAACAATGAGCTTGTTAAAATGAGCAGAGATAAAACGTCCAAGTATTCAGAGAACTGCGCCTCAGGAGAATCGAACTCCACGCCAAAGCATCGGACCCATTTATCCGCGAGTGTGGAAGCGTCCCTGGCTAAAAACGTCGTGTAAAAAATGAATACGGCGTCTCGAAAGAGGTACCCTTGAGATGACGACGCAATGCATAGACAATGACGTGGAAGCTAGTGGATTATGTATTAGATTTACAACAAAGGAACTGCTGTACAGTACACACAACTCTCGATGCCAAAGGGTCCACACCTGCAGTAGACGAATCGATCTACCCTGCACCTGATTCACATCCCGGGAGATGTACAATAAGCAAGCATCGCCGCAAGTGTGGTACTCTCGTTGTCGCCCTACAGTCCACCGCAGAACTGAATATTGAAAGGGCGGGACTAGGACTGCACGAACTTGACATCTTTCAAACAGCGATATTGACATGCTGGGATGGAGAGGGATAGGGGTGAGAGGACTGAGCGCAGTGTAAGCGGAGGGGACGAATGGAGGGTGCGCGGGAGGAGCGTCAGAGCGAGTGGTGGTTGCGAAGTCGAGGACTAGCAAATGCTTTCGTAGACGGCTCGCAAGTTACCTCCCGTCGAGGCCCAGTTTGCATGGTCGAACTAGGGAAGTAGGGACGTGCGTGCTGCGGTGCAAATTGTGGATAGACAGTCCGAGTCAACCATTAACGTTTCAAGAACGCTGTGAGGCCCTCGTTCTGCCAATATGGATGTGCCCGTAAGCCGCGAACATGAGCGGGCAGGCTTTGGAGGTTAGATAACGCTCGGTAGGAGAGAGCGCGCCTTGGGTTTGCACGAAGGCATTGGAGCAGCGCCAATTGCAAGGAAAAAACGACATGGCCGGCGAGTGTCCGTTCGTGGTGACGACTAGCGAACAGCTCAATCTTCTGATGCTCGCAAACAGTTCCCACTTGTCATCGAGGTCCGTCAGGGAATGGAATTCGCCATGGTCATACGTATGGTGGGCGATTGGAGGAGTGTGTCGCGTACGTGATGATAGCGTGTGCTGCCAATATGCAAACGAGGAAGCGAACCTGGCTGGGTGGTCTATGAAAGGAGAATCATGGTAAGCCACCAAACTTGCTCGCTGACAACAACACCCTCTCTAAGGATTGGGTCCTTCTCACGACGATGCAGGATAGCAGCACAAGAAGAAGCGAGAGGAATGCAGTAGTCTTCGCATAGTAGACCGAGTTGGAACGTGGTGTGGGAAAGAGAAACGCATCGGGAAATGCCGCCAAAAGTCAATTTTACACTCCCATGCTCTCAATCGCGGCAGAAATCCCTGACACCTCCAGTCGACGAACTTTCCGTCTCGAAACTTGAAACACACGCGTCGTCGTTGGTAGAACTTCAATTGCATGATCCCAGAATAACACTGATATTGGTATCTAATAGGTGTACAGACACTAATACACTGTCAACCAAGGACGAGAAGAATGTAACCGGTACACGACTGTGCCCTAACAAGGGTCAGCACGAAACAGCCGAGCACGCCAACATACAAAGCTCACCTCGAACGGACGACTGCGCACCGACTGCATCTTCCTATGCGTATAGCACATTTACTCACTGCAAACCACCAGTCAGCCCTCCGACACGCCAACATGAGCAATCTACTCACAGGAGGGACAAGGTGATGTCACCGTTGACCTTCGCCTGGATGGCGATCTCGACCTCGAGGTTAAGGTCAAGGCGCAACTTCAAAGCTGCGGGGGGTGCGACAGCCTGGCGCTCAGAGCGGCCGACGACTTGTCCACCGAGGACAGAGGAAGACTGGGTAGGTGCGTATTGGGTTTGTGGGGCAGACATTGTAATGCTGAGGATGGAGGACGGCTAGGTGAGGGTTTTTATAACAACTAACTGGGCCCGTTGCGGGGTACTCGGCACCTTGGACGCGGGAATGCTCGTGTAACCATTGATATTTCATTTGAATATACATGGATCCGGAAGCTTGCAACTTTGCCTCGTTGACGAAAAATTTTCTGATGTGGTGGGACTAATGAATACAACCGTGGGAACCCAAGAGTCGAGCCTCTCTCTCTTCCTCCCATGATACATACACTTCAAGTTTTTTTTTCTCGAAGGCACCCCACTTCTAGGCTGTTACGACAAGGCCAGCTCCCGTTCTTCGCTCCACGTTCCATCTCTAAATGGAGAAGAAGAACATGCCCGTACGCATCGTCCCCGTCTGAGACTAATCACAAGGCGACCCAAGAGGTACCCGGGTGTTCGAACTTCGAACGTGTAACACATTGACAACCCACGAAATTTAACCCGGACCTCTCTTCTCATCCAATATACGACGACGAGGCACCCGAGTTGCTAAATGCATGGCGCAATCCATAACGTTGCTCTCGCCCCGGGTCGACATTCGTTCTAAACCATGGCGCAATCTATAATAATGCTCAGTTCGTATAAAACCCCCCAGCTTAGCACCCCTCCCTCCTCAGCACAACAATGTCTGCCCCACAAACCCAGTTCGCACCTACCGAAACCTCCTCCGTCCTCGGTGGACAGATCGTCGGCCGCTCCCAGCGCGCCGCCGCACCCCCCGCTTCCGTGAAGCTGCGCCTTGACCTCAACCTCGAGGTCGAGATCGCTATCCAGGCCAAGGTCAACGGTGATATCACTTTGTCTCTCCTGTGAGTTGGTTCTCGTCGTCTGGTGGGTCCTCCGGCTGACTATCTGGTTCACAGTGAGTAAATGTGCTACGCGCGCGTGGGGAGGGTTTTGGATTGTGCTCGACGCGTTCTGGTGAGGTTGTTTTCGTTGAGTTTTAGTTCTTGGCGATGCTAACGTGTATCTGCTTAGCGTAGACCATTTCTCTGTCCCTTTGTCGATGTTGTATTAGTGTAGTCCCATACCAATATCATTGCGTTGTGAAGAATTTTACTCTTAGGTCATAGAAAGTGACCTGCAATGGGTCGATGGCGTAGCTGGTTATCGCATCTGTCTAACATCATCCATTATTCGAATGTTCACAGAAGGTCCTCAGTTCGAACCTGGGTCGACTCATTTATCATGACTGGAGATTGACTTTTTCAATCTCAAAGTCAGTTTGTTGTCCGAGGCTTTGAAGTTACAACGTAGGGCTGCGCACGAAACCTCTGGGGGGTGTAAGATATGGTTTTATACCGACCCCTCTCCAAGGGGGGTGTTTTAATACGGTAATTTACCGTTACTTACCCTATCACGTGCATAATCACATGCCTGACGCGCGTCGTTTGCAAAAAATTCGCAGCATCTTCATCTTCGTATTCTTTTACACATTTTTCTTTCTCCTGAAGTGTGATTCATTGAAAGTTGCTAAAGAGATATGTTTTAAGCTGTAAATAAAATATAACTACACTAGGATTGAATATAGTGGTAATATTGCCGCTGAAATGTCATCACATGACAAGTAAGTTACCTCGACGAAAACCCCTCCAGCGGGGGGAGGTAAATTACCAGTAACTAACCGGTAACTTACCGGTCCGAAACCCTAGTGTATCAAAACCTAGGGTTTCGTGCGCAACCCTATTACAACGTAACTACTAACAACTGACAATTTACACCTCCGGAGTCAGAAGACTCAGAATTATTAATTATTGATACTTGAAAATAATGGAGGAGACGTATACCTTGTTTCTCCCTTCCTACATCCAACCGGGGAGCATTTTCCAATGTTTTAGATACAGTGATAATTGAGTTTCGGGTTCATAAGCTTCCCTTTTTGGACTCTCCAGTTCTCTCAGTTCCTGCCACCATCACACAGGGTTTGAGGCTCACACCGATGTACGGAATTCTCGCTTCCCAGGACGTATTTTCTTTCAGGTATGAAGGTACGCGATCTCTTTGCGATATCCTCGTTTTCCTACCAGCAAGCCTGCAGTGTAGTATACCCTTCCCCGACGTCCTTCTCGATGCGGCTCTCGATCCTCGCCGATACCCTACAAAATCCGTATGGGAGGAAAGTGCACGATGTTGACGCTCGGCTCGTTCTCTCCCGTTCACCCCACGCTACGTTCAGGGCGCAGTGGGATGACGAGAGCAATTGGCGCGGGGTGGAGTTTGAGAGTTTTGTAGATGCGACCGTCGAGCTCACTCAGATAGTCCGCCTCTCTGCCGGGGAAAGGCACCTTTCTCCAAGCCAACCGACCATCCTCTTACCCTGCAAGTCCCAAAATGCACGGACGCTCGGCTCGTTCTCTCCCTACGTTCATCGTTCATGCATGGGATGACTTGGGGCTGGTGCGAGGTGGAATATGACGAATGTCGTAGGTGCACAGGCCCATCTCGCCAGCTTCGACGTGTCCCACTCGAATTTTCTTCCAGCGACGGATTCGCGCAATGCCGATAACAAAACTCAACTTCTACCACGCCTCTCTAATGAACATCCTCCCTCCTAATATATGCCGGCTAGTCGAAAATCCTACGTGGTGAGGCCGTCGCACCCCAACCAGCGTGCCTACCACTCTGAATCGAATGCTCGACAAGACAGTTTCGTAGCTCCGTCTATCCCTCGACTCGGGGGTCGCTGGCGAGAGATGGCCCCTCGAAAATTGAACGCGCAACCCTATCCAATCCAGATCTCAACCTCGAAGTGTCGCCCGTTGGCGAGATGTGTCGTGGGACCGGAGAGAAGGTTTTAGAAAGTGAGATGCTTCGCCGACCCCCCTTTCATCGACGCCGGATCGTGCATGGACCTCTGTAATCACGCCAAGGCGCTTACTCTAGGGTCGATGGCGTAGCTGGTTACCGCTCCTGCAAAGTGTCCTCAGTTCGAACCTGGGTCGACTCGTGGCGACAAATAGTCCTTTTTTTCGCTCTGGAGTCTCGGGGTGTGCATTGTGCTTTCGCCTTAGCTTGATGCGTGATGCACTATCATCTCACATCAACGCGAACATCCGACAGATACCCAACGCAGTCATGAAGGGTACACGGCTTTGACATTCTTTGTCGTTCCCCCCCCCCAGGAAAATGCGCTATGTCGACGACTGGTGTCGGTATGACGAGAGTAAAGATTGGGGGCTGGCGCCGCGGAGTGGAATATGACAGGTGGATCGCAGCCTCACCGTCGTTTCAAGTTCATGTCCCCGCTCTCGATTTGCCTTTGCCTCTTTTTCACAATAGCCGATGTCCTTTCCCAGCGATGGATTCGCGCAATGTCATTCCTCCCGATACAAAACTCACGCCTCTCTGATAAACATCCTCCCTCCCTCCTAGTTTCAAGACCTGCCCCGGCATGCCTAATTCCTCGAGCTCGCTCAGAAAAACGCGTCCGAGGGATACGTGGTGAAGGCGTCTTTCCGACCATCATCTCATTGACAAGTGTGCGTTCCTTGACGCAACGAAATAGAAATCCCGCCCTGACTTGCAGAAGATCGCAGGTAGACAGTTTGCGTCGTGCTACAAACACTAGTTTTTTTTGGCAACCCCGTCTCCAAGTCTCCTGTTTAAAAGGGGAATATGTGACGTAGAACACAAATCCCCTTGCGTACAGCCCTACCCCACGGTGTCCACAGTGAATGCGTTTAAGTGAGAGACGCTTTGCTGATACCCCTTCTACCCCCTTTCATCGGGGCTGGGCAAGTATCGTGGTACGTACAAATATTTGGGATTCCAGCGCTCGGCTGTTGTGCCTGCAATATGGAGATAGTCACGCCAAGATGTTTGGACGTTGGGTCGATGGCGTAGCTGGTTATCGCATCTGTCTAACATGACATAAACTGTATATGTTCACAGAAGGTCCTCAGTTCGAACCTGGGTCGACTCATTGTAGTAAGAAACGGGTTTTGTTTTGTCACTTGTGGTTGTTGGTTTCAAAATTAAACCTGGGGCATGCTCTAGCCTTTGAGTTCTCCATTCTCCATTACAACTTTTGGGCCTTTTTTGAATAGTTTTACGAGTTGCACTGTTAGTGAATATATCTTAGTCGGTACGACTCGTACCAGCACCAACGCCATTCTCTTGCTCGACAAGGCTTTTAGGTCTATTAGTCGATAGTGCAGCTGCTTGTCACATTTATCTTCAGTTCGAACCTGGGTCGGCTCCTTTGCGAATTGAAAATACTCGTTTTGCTCTAAATCGGCTTTTGCCGAAAGGTACGTCACCCTGCCAAGGGAACAAAGAAGGTCCTTGTACTCGTTTTTGTTTATTGTTCTCGTATGGCACGTATAAAAACCTCGCCGTGTGCAGTGCTCTTCACTTTTCTTCTTTCTCCCATCCAGCCTGGTGCTTCTTGTCCGTGATGCTTTCTTCCATTCTCTTTGTTTCTGCCCTCTTCTTCTCCTCGCGCGGGGCGCCCACAGCCTCCCTCGACGCCTCTGCCCTCCTCGTGAACGGCCAAGCTGCCCAGTCCCAGAACGTCGCTTTCCAGAACCTCTCCGCCAACGATACGTGCTCCAGTGCGTCCCGTTCTGTTCCTCGGGTATTCTTCGCACTCACGTTCTTATTCTTTTAGCGGGCGAAGTAGCGTGTATATCTGGAGATGTGGCCCAGTGTGCGGACAATCAGTGGGCGACGTCGCCTTGCTCGGGCTCGGCACAGTGCTTTGCCCTTCCGTCTGTGAGGGGTAACGGGACTGTGCGTGGCTTTTTTCTTTCACTGATTACCTAGAGCTGATTTTGGGTCTGTAGTTCCTACAGTGCACGAGTGAGAAGGACGCGACGTCCGTGATCGATGCTACGGGAGCCACCGGAGGCATCTTTGGGAATGGCACTGACACGTCCAATTCCACGACTAGTGCCAACTCCACGGATGCTAACTCCACGGATACCGCGTCTGGTACCTCCATCGGCGACAGCGGGATCGTCACCGTGACCATAACCCTCACCCCCACTGCGACAGTGTTCGTGAGCACAGAGGTGCCCGTCACGACGACACTGTCCCCCGACGAAGCCTCGAGTCTTCTCGCGAGCTTGACAGGCGTGGCTGGCGGTTCAGTTATCACCGCCTCCCCAGCTGTTAGTGCCACTGACGCAGAAGTGGCTTCCTCCTCCGCTGCAGCTACGGTAATCTCTCTCGTTGCTGCTGCAGCTGCCACCTCATAACGCCCATTATTCTTTATGAACGTCACGGATAGATAGTAACTGGTTTACTACGAGGATATGTATTGTACTGTATCATAGGTGTAATAGAGGACAAGCATCAGACTGGATGGTAACAATGTCGGGGCTATGGAAGCTGTAGCGGTTGAAGACTAATGTGACCCGCATCGGGATTGAACACCGTGCCCTCGATAGCTTCTGTGCAGTCGTCGCACTCCTAGATCAAAGTACTCCCTCCTCAAGGTTCTGACTTTGATAAAGGACATGGCATTAAATCGATGGCACAAAGTTAGACCTTGAGCATCCGGAATTGAGTCGACCTAGGTTCGAATTGATGATAAAGCAGTCAACAACTCATGCTCAAGTAAGGGTACCATTAAGATACCTTGGCAGATGAGAACATTCGGTCCAAGGTGAAGAGGCGACGAACCGGACTAGTCTCTGCCCCACATAAGAGATGCGCTTGCCGTTGAAAGTTTGAATTTGGAACTCAATGCCAGCCGCGCACAGCTAATTTCCAAAAATCACAATATATGGACACGAACCAGATCAATGAGCTGGCCCAGGCTCGAACTGGGAATCAGCGACAGGCAGCTATGCCGTCGGCCCACGGAGTTGGGAGAGATCCAGAGATGAGGTTCAGGCATTTGGAGAACATGCAAGCTCCGCACAGAGCATCACAACGCCTGGTACTCAGTACGGACAAAAATCGTTATGAATGCACCTCGTTGAGTAGACCCAAATTCCAACTGGAAATTGATGCGACAAGCAACTTCGGCCCACGGACTTGAATCCAGGCGCGAGTGGCAGCGATAGCGAATATGTTAGCCTAGTGCAGGCGTTGAACCATTCCCCGGGGCCCAAAATTCAAATTTAGAAGTTAAGAAGTTGAAAGGAGTTAGAAATTGTAACCCAAGTAACAACTTGACAAATTACCCGTCTGCTCTAGCGCTCGCCACTGACTCCTGAGCAAAACAGACTGAATCT